TATTTTTAATTTTTAACATGTAATCATTTGTATGAATATATCATTTGTGTGAACCAAATGCTAAAACCTAATCTGTTCACCCAGTTGTTCAAATACTGTAGTTTGAACATTTCTGGTACCTAGAAATGTCAACTTAAATTATAATTAATATAATTAAATTTATAAAAAATATGTCCACTAAATGTAGCCAAAGACTAAGCTTTATTGATTACACCGATAGAAAATGTCTAAATCATATTGACTAATCAAAGGAATGCATATTTGCTGCTCAGGTCTCGTTTGCGGGCATGTCTTGTAAGACATCTGTGAAGAAGAATAGTTGTTCTCCCGTTTGGAACGAACAGATAGTGATCACTGAAATGTTTCCACCTCTTTGTCAAAGACTCAAAATCCAGATCAGAGACTCGGATCCCGTCAGCGATCATATTATTGCCACACATTTCATACCTCTCAGTAAGATATCAAACGAAGGGTCAAAAGGATTTTTGCCCACTTTTGGGCCCTCTTTTATATACCTCTACGGATCCATAAGAGACGGCTCTATATTTGAAGACCAGTCTATCCTTAACGATGGCTTCTCTGAGGGCATTATGTATAGGGGAAGGATTCTTATGGCCATTCACACTGAGATACTCGAGTCGGTGGAGGCAAATATAGCAGGAGTTAACGTCGAGCCCACTCAACCATTAAATGAGGTTTCATAAATTCAATACCATCTTTATATTACATATCTTGCAAAACTATAGATTTTGACATGCGTTTATTTAATCCGTGTCATTACCTTTATTACTGATCAAATATAATTGATCTTTATATCAAATTAAACCTAACATGATACTGTTTCCAACAATATATAACTTGATATAAATACTAATTAATTAATTGGTTAATTCTAGTAAATAAATTTACCTAATTGTAAATATAGATCAAATTGTATTCAAGGGTCAGTTTTGGTCAATTTATTACCAAATACTGATATTTGGTGCAAAAAACACAAGCAAATACATTATTCTTGAGTATCAGATGATTGACAATTAGATTAGGTAACAAAAATCAGGCCTGGTCACATTTAAATGTATTTAAATAATTCCGATAACTTACGCTTGAATTGACATCGATATGAAAATAGATTGAATGCATACTAATAATTACGAGGCCCTGTATTTTCAAACTACGACCCGTAGTACTAANAAATGTATTTAAATAATTCCGATAACTTACGCTTGAATTGACATCGATATGAAAATAGATTGAATGCATACTAATAATTACGAGGCCCTGTATTTTCAAACTACGACCCGTAGTACTAAAATTTGTCTACTGGTCAACACATATAATATTTATTTATAATTACTAATTAATTCTCATATATAGATATTAAGACATAATTGCCTCAAATTTTAGTCCGAAATATTATTTAGAAACAATAATTATTTGACTTATTGGGAAATCTATAGTTTTGCAAGATATGTATATATTTATTTACATTAACTAAACAATTGTTTGTTATAAAAACAGAATAATTATGGGAAAACAGAAGAGTTTCTATTATTTGCCTCAATATTTGAATCAAATATGATTGATAAGAAATATGCGGACAAACCATTGCATTATGAAATATCCATCGGTAACGATGGCATACAAGAAGATGACTCAAACCAAGACTTGACGGCATCTACTTATGAACACTTTGATGACAAATCTCTCTATTGTGCAAATAATAGTAACAATAATAATAATAATAACTGCAGTGAAAAGCAAAACTTACTTTCATTTGTTAGTCAACAATACAATTATGACATGCGATCGACGACATCGCCAATCAGACCAGTGATGACAGACCGTCAATATTATCACTTGCCTATAGAGGCAGAGAAGCCGTGTCTTTATCTCAAGTCGTCTCTACCCGACCACAGAAGACGTGCCTATAATTGCAATATCATTGAGAAGATTGGTTTGAATTTGGAAATTGGATTACTTGACGTACAAGAGATGATTCGCGTCGAGAAACCACATCCCGATCGACGACTGAGGGGAGTACTCGAGGAACTCATGATTGACTGCAGGTTTACTTTATTAACAAATTTATATCAATCTAATATACATTTACGGTATCGTATTGTAGTCTATTACAGTATAATACATTATTAGTGCTTAATAATTGATTAATAATAAACGCTATCAACTGCTAATATTGTTACTTATGTAATACTTTATAAATATAAGTTATACCTAACCTTCAGATTAAATGTGTTAGATTTGTTGTCCATAACTTGAGACAGTACTGTATTCTATAATATCTATACAGTGTCTTAAAAACATCTCGAGACTCGAGCATTACATAGCATTACATGGCATGTATAGCAAGCTTTGGATCTCTCGTCAGAGTAAGGAGTACTCTTACAGTATATACAGTACAGTACTGTACTATAAACTATTTTATGAGACTAATTGCGACATTGTACCTAATGCTTGTATAGGGATTGAATCTGATTAAGAATTTTTTTCTATTGTTGGCTTCTAACTTATTAGAAGTAAAATATTATGCCCAATATATTTATATAATTATGGAACATTTTCAGCATACACTATAATATAGTCACTATACTATATTGTACAGTTGACAGTTCATAGGAATACATTACATATACTGATGTACTTTGAAATATTTCAGCATCAAAACTAATAATCCAAATCTAAAGCAACTTGGTTTCTAGTGCCTACGAGTGTAAACTTAAATAATGAAACCATTTTCATAATTCTAACAATAAGTGCACTGGAAGTTCTATAGTATAATAGGTTTTCAAATGACCCAAAATTATACCAATAAAATAGTTGTTATTATTACAATACCCCAAATTATAGTCAATAATAGATATTTTAATTCAATGACTAAGTAAAAGGATTATAAAATCAACATTTTCCATCTATATATTAACACATAAAGTTTTAGTAAAGTTTTATATATTATTTTTCATATCAATATAACTAAAAATGTTGCAAATTGGGGCGATAAACGGGTATATAGTGTTTTGCTTTTCCCCAACGCACTGCTAATGCAACGATAAACGTTTCAGTCTCTGACGCACGCGCTGTGGACTTGTTATTTTAAATTAAAATTGCATTTTATTTACAAACAGTCGATTTCTTACAATAAGCAAAGGTTTTGGCGGAAGTGCTATCGGAAAGACAAAACTTGATAGAGAGAGGGTTCTGATGTGTCAGAGAGAAATCGAGACCATTTGTAACACTTCCAAAAATATCAATCAAAATACCAATGAAAATAACATCAAAGACCAAGTTAAACATGTGAACAAAATTCTTCATAATCTTAAAGAGTTGGCTAAAGACGTAAGGCTTTCAAAACTCTTTTTATTGTTATAATAATATAAATTAACTGTATTTTTAAACATGTTTTACGGTTAGCCACAACATTCAATGCCTGATATATTTATATGGCTTTTATGCGGTGATAAGCGAATCGCTTACCAAAGGCTTCAAACAAGACATTACTTATTTTCTATAGTTGAGGAAGAATGTGGCAAATCATGCGCTAAATTACACAATATTTTTCTTAAAGTATGCCATCATTTCCTATTTAATGTAAAGTCTATTTGAAATCAAATTAAAAGTGTTATTATTTTCAGTTATCAGGAAAGAAAAATGAAATAATTGATGGTTTGATACAGAATATGGTTTATATTTATGTTTGGATTGGAAATAAAAAGCACAAGAAATATTTTGCAAAGGGTTTGCCAAAAGGATATCGTATGTTAGATGAGTTGGAAAATGCGGAAAAATCTCATCTCATGCCTCCCAACACTATATACTATGAATGCAAACATAGTTTTGAATTGCGAGCGCATATATATCAGGCCAGAAGTCTGTTTGCTAGCGATTCTTCGGGTTTGTCGGACCCGTTCGCTAAAGTCATTTTGACGGACGCCTGTCAGACAACAGAAGTGATCGAAGAAACACTGAGTCCCACATGGGATCAGATGCTCATATTCCCCAACATTACGCTCTACGGCGACCGCAACGATATTCTAACTAACCCTCCAGTTATTGTCATTGAGATTTACGATAGAGATAATGTGGTATGTATTCTATTTGATCTACAAATTAGTACTCATATACATACAAGTTAAATATTAATATATTTTACTTAAATAAATTTGTTTTACTTTACATTTTAAAATATTACTCTAATCATTTAATTATTAAATAGAAAGATTTACAGTATATCTGATTTGTTTTCAATAATAAATTATGCAATTATGAGATATATTAATATTTAACAAATAATTGATATCAAAAAATATAGTAAGTATAATCGGCAATTTTAACTTAGTATCAAGTTCAGATTAACTTCATTTAGAAAACATAACATGTTGAGAACACAATTGTGATATAAATAGATTCACAAAACGCATAAATTATGTTATATTATTTATTTTGTTGAAAATTGTAAATATAATTCAATTCAATTTGAACTTGATATTAAGCTAGGATTGTGTTTGTCTAATATAGAATTAGCTAATTTTCCTTATGTAAATAAATTTGTGTTTTTTAGAAAACAAGTGATTATCGTATTGATCATACTTTTAAAGTATATTTATTTTCATTTATTTTTGTTTATTAAATATAATGATTAAAATAATTAAAATACTATTTGGATACAATGTTTTAAGGGAAAGGCAGAGTTTATTGGTCGGGCTGTTGCCAGAGACAGTTATATACGATTTTCTGATATGAAATACTCGACCCCACAATTGCAATGGTTTGATATTTGGAGGGGTGACGAGTCGGCCGGTCAGCTATTGGCGTGTTTTGAATTAATTCAGGTTTTTGTCATTCATTTATCATATCATTTCTATGACCAGATTATTAGATTAATAATTGAAAATCTAATTAAAGATCTCATCAAAACACAAATCCAATTCATACCCTGATATTCTGCCCAATTATAAATGTTCGTTAACCCCATCCGTGAACACGGGATCAGTTATGTATGACAACGAAATAGGCATATATCCACTCCCGGAGTCGATTCGGCCCACACTTTCCAAATATAGGATAGAAGTGCTGTTCTGGGGTTTGAGAGACTTAAAACGTGTTCAGTTTATGTCAGTTGATAGACCTCGCGTTGACATTGAATGCGCCGGAAATATATTGCAATCATCGATAATATTAAACTATAAAAAAAATCCCAATTTTATGATTCCCGTCAAACATATCGATATCGAACTTCCCGACCAAGAGATGTATTGCCCGCCCCTTACTATACGTGTCATGGATTGCAGAAGTTTTGGACGATTTGTGTTAGTGGGCACTCATATGATTGCTTCCCTCTCCAAATATGCCATCAAAGACACCACCAAAGAGTTGTTCTCTTATAAAAAACAAGAAGTCATTATTCATACAAAACACGTCGGATTTGTAGGTTTTATATTTCAAAACAATGTATCCATTGATCAATAGTTATCTATTCAACAGTCAGTGGAATTGAATGCAAAAGTATCCAAAAGTCATTCGAAAGGATCGATTAAAGGTTTCAAAAATACGACACATGAAAGTCCGGATACTTACGAAACTGATGAGGAGGACAACAGCGATTGGTGGAGTCGATACTTCGCTTCCGTTGACATTACGACCCACCAAAACGTGTCCGAAATGTCGGCCATTTTGGACGTGTTTAGCGACCCGAAGAAGTCTCTGCACAACTCTGCACATCATTTTGGCGTGAATTCCAAACTAAGAAAATCCACAAATAAGACGACGTCTCCCAAGAAAAACAAAGACAAAACACCGGTTCAGACAAAACACACATCAAATTTGATTCAAATATATTCCAATGAATTAGAATTGTGTCCACAATTTGATGGATTCACTGAATATCTTCAATCATTTGAGTTATTTAGAGGCAAACGTTACGGTAATGACAGCGACGATCTCTCAAGACTTTGTGGTATATTTAAAGTAAATAAAGTTTATATTGATTTGTGTTTAGCATTTGTTTAATTATTAATTAATTCATTTGAAGGGTTCACTCAAACTATATCGCCATCCCTTTTCCAATTCAATATTTGAATCGCGATTCACACCAAGCAATGAACCGATTAATGTTTTGGTCCGTATTTATGTGGTTAAGGGATCAGATCTACATCCGGCAGATTTGAATGGCAAAGCAGATCCTTATATTGTTATTAACTTGGGTTCAAAACGGGTTAGCGATAAAGACAATTATATATCTAAACAACTAAATCCAATATTTGGAAAGTAAGTGAAATAATATATTGTAAATGCAAAGAGATTGCATGTTTTGATGACTTGTTACTTCCAGATGCTTTGAATTTGACGCCACATTTCCTCAGGACTCGATGTGCACAATACAGATATATGATTGGGATCTGTTTGGAACCGATGATCTGATTGGCGAAACTAAAATTGATTTAGAGAACCGTTTCTACTCTAAACATAGGGCCACATGTGGTATCTCCAGAGTCTATGAAACGTAATCTTTGCCACATTTGTTAAATTTGTTATTTATTTGGTATGAAATTATAATTATTAGTTGTGGTCCAAACCAATGGCGCGATTCTCTAAAACCATCACAAATATTGGCTAAACTATGCAAAGACCATAAGATCTCTGGTCCAGTAATGAGTCCACAAAAAGTGAAATTGGGATTAACAACATTCCGGTTCGGAGACACTAATAATGATGTGATCACACAATTACCCCTCATCTCAGAGGAAGACATGGCTTTAGCTGTTTTGCATAACTGGAAACATATAACCGGAGATTTAGTTCCCGAACACATTGAGACCCGGAGTGTCTACCATCCGGACAAACCCGGTATAGAACAGGGAAAGGTTGAGATGTGGGTCGATATGTTTGCAAAGGACGGACCGGCGCCGCCGCCCGCTATTGATATCTCGCCACGAAAGCCAAAAAGCTATGAATTGCGAGTCATTATCTGGAATACAGAGGACGTCCTCTTAGAAGATGACGCCTTCTTTACGGGAGAGAAAATGAGTGACATTTATGTGAAGGGGTCTGTAGTTTGTACTTAACTTCAAACTAACACAATATGTAATGTTATTATTTTGAACATACAGTTGGCTCAAAGGGCCAGAAGATATGCAATGTACCGATATACATTATCGCTCATTGACTGGTGAGGGTAATTTTAACTGGCGATTTGTGTTTCCGTTTGAGTATTTGCCGGCGGAGGACAAAATTGTTATCTCGAGGAAAGAAACAGTATTTTCATGGGACGAGACTGAGTGCAAAATCCCCGCCCGACTATTCCTACAGGTGTGGGACGCCGACCACTTCTCTGCCGACGACTTTCTAGGTATTGATTCACTTATTTGTTAATTACCAGTATTTATGGTTTGTATGCAACGATAGGTGCGATCACTCTTGACTTGAATCGTTTCCCGAGAGGAGCGAAGACCGCAAAGTTGTGTTCATTAGATATGTTGAAGAATGACAGGTCGACCCCAACGGTGTCCCTATTCAAGCAGAAACGGATTAAAGGCTGGTGGCCTTTCTATGGCAACAAGGACAAGGACGATCCAGAACACCTCGAACTAACAGTATGTCCACACCTGTCCACACCTGCCCCACATCTATACCCTATACGCTATACACTTGACAACAATTTGTATTTAGGGCAAAGTTGAGGCCGAACTCCAACTCTTGACTAAAGAGGAAGCGGAACGAAATCCGGTTGGCTTTGGTCGGGGAGAACCCGATCCCCTCGAGAGACCAAATAGACCCGACTCTTCATTTCTATGGGTTTTAAATCCCCTCAAATCGATTCGTTATGTCGTTTGGCATAACTATAAATGGCTTTTAATCAAAGGCTTGTGCTTTCTTCTTCTTGTACTACTATTTGCACTCTTTGTATATTCAATACCGGGATATACTGTTAAGAAAATGATTGGCGCTTAGAATTCATTGGCCAACCATATGCTCTTAATTATTATTAATTAATTTGGGATTATATTTAAATATTCGCTTATAATAAAATCAATATATAAAAACATGTGTTTATATTAATACGGTACTTATATTTGTTGCAAAATATTAAAATGTTATTAAATTGATTTTTAATTATAATATAATTATGTTCAAATATATAATAATTCTTATCACTTGTTAATCTTATTTTAATATTTATTTTTTATATTATATATTCACTTTTAATATTTACCATAATTATTAATAAAATACTGGATTATTATAAAAATAAAATTAAAAATGTAATTTTAAAATATCAAAATTCATGTCATATTTTGTCATAACGATTATTTGAGGCGTGTTTTGGTGACGTGAATATAAATATCAATGTTGCGAATTGAGTTGAGGTCTTCTCATTCTTAAATAGCCACCCGATGGAGGTATCTCTCCGGGAAGGTCTCCTCCCGGACCGGTTGAGTCCGGATTGGGTGGTCTGTGTCTGCCGTCGCCATATTTGTTCGCAATATAGTCAACAAACTTGTGATAAGACATGTTTTCAAAATCAAATTTGTATCCGTTATGCGTATGTTTTAAATGAGGTCTGTATAGCGGATCAGCAAACGGCCACTTTTTATTGCTATCTTTGTAATAACTATTAGTTTTAAAATCGTTGTTATTTTCATTTAAACCGTAATTTCTAACACTAATTGCTTGATTTTCATAGTAATTGCTTTTCTCTCCCATTGCTTTCATTTATTTTATATAAAACAAGTTTTTATTACAAATTATATTGATTTAATGCAAATATAAAATTATGACTTACTGCAGGGATTGTAATCATAATTGTCATCAAAGTGATCATCATTAATATAATGATTAGAATGAATTAAATTAACAAATATTACACTTTTTATAAAAATCAAATATATTAGGTTTTTCATTACTACTGTAAAAAAATTAATTTAAATTTATTCATAATAAACGTCATTATTGAAGACTGAACTTATATTCAGTAACGTTAATAAGTTTTTACTAATAACTTGCATTATATTCAATATATAAATCAAATATGATCGAGTATGTGTTGAAATATATTAAAACTTGGGTAACCGCGTGATCCCATAAATCACATTCATCATAACTGAATTGGTGTTAAACTTATGAAATAGCATAATTATTAGTTTACAAAATGATTACACAATTAAGCCTCACTAATTAATTTAGTTTCAATGTAATTTTGATTTTGATAATTCTTCAAGATATACAAATACATGCAAAGAATATTTGAATAGATTTAATAATATTATCGGATTTATTAAATTACTATTAATTGTTTCACTTGATATAAAATACATTTTTACAAAATCACAGAATATTTTGGTTTTATATAAACATGATCTAAATATCTTTTATCAATGTTTACTTATTTGAGAAATGAAATTTTAATTTTGTGACTATTTTACTCATTTTTATGACATGTATTTTTTCAACAATCTTTAAATAATAATTAATAATCAAAAATCTATTAAAATTATCAAATAAAATTGTAATCATTAAAATTGCATAACTGACAAATATTTAAATCAAACATTTAATAAATATTTTAAAACAATAACTAAAATATTTACGGTATAACGCAAAATAAATATATATAATAAATAAAAATTCAACAATTTAAATGTATAAATAGAAAATAATACAAAATTACGGTATTATGCATTTTGTGTGTGTTTGGAAAACATAAAAGTATTTCAACAAAAATAAAAAGGAATGAAAAGAATTGCAATAATAGTAACAATAATTAAAATATAGTAAAAATATTGTAATAAATTAATGGTGAGATTCTTGTGCCCAATTGTGTTGGCCATTATTGCAGATGCCTTGTGGTGACCACCAGTTGGATATGTCCTGATATCCACGCGAGGGTTTAGAGTGCTTCGAGTGTAAGAGCGCGCAAACACGACACCAGAAGTAAGTATTAATGAATTCTCCGCTGGATTTCCATTCAAAATACTTGTTATACAATTGAGGATTCGCTGACAGAATGTGTAAATAGTTAGCCAAAGCTTTGGGCGATTCAAAGTTATCGACGTGTATATAGGAATTGGGAGGCGATGAGCGCCGATAGTCATCCGGATGAGCGCCCATTACTATTGGTATCAAGTTATAATCGAGTGAATTGTGACTAAATTATAATCAAATAAAATATTTGTGTCAAATATAAAATTGTTTGTAAATAATATAATGTAATTACAAACCCGAGGCCATTAACATAGAATTTTTCAGTGATATAATCCCTACAGTTTGAGTTTTCAAACGCCAAATAAAATTTATAATCTTTGTTCAACATTTCAAAACATCGTTTGGCTTTATTTCGCGGACACTTCTTATTACCACAACTGTTTCAATCATTTCAATTAGAATACGGTATTAATAATAATTAAACAAAACTACTTTATATTTCAATGTGTCAACACATGCAAAGCACTTTAGATTTTCATGTTTTAACCATTAGTTTAAAATGGATGCAAACCTGCCGTAAATGTCGACTTCAATATAACGGGAAAGTTCGCGCGCGTATTCCAGACGCTTATTACGGGCGCCACAATTGGATACAAACCACGCAACCTCTTTGGTCTTGCCCTCCGCCCAGTTCTACATAAACACCATATAATCCACTCATTAATGAAATACTCATTCAATTTCATATTCATATTCATCCGCTCTTATTATACGTTAATTCATACTTTAAAGTAAATCTTAAAATTCTTCCATTTTATTCGAGTATTTAATCCTTCAATTATTCGTGATATTCATCAATAAATTAGAAAATATACAGTCTGCTCTCGATATAAGCAACTCCATGGGGGCAACAAAAATCAGATATAAGTGCATGCATGCATATGTGGGGAAAACGGTACTAATAGTTTATTACACTTACTCTACACAACTTACTCTAAAATTATATTTTGATCAACTTCAATTTAAAGAATTACCTTCATGAATTGTATTATTAGATAAATAAAACTTAATATTTAATAAGAATACCAATTGTTGTTAAATGTAAATATAGAGGTGAATGTGATGTGCATTACCTTTAGTGCACTTTGTTTTGGTATTGTTTGAGAATAGGGCACAAACTTTTCATAGGGCGCCACTATATCGGAGTCGTGTCTATAAGTTGCGGTCCAATTGAATACTCGGTGCCCTAAATGGGTGAAGAGCTGTGTGTGAAGCGGACACTCCAACAGGAATAGTATCCAAATCTGATGCATAGGTCGCCTGTGTTTAGGCCATTGGAAACGCTCTTTAAAGAAGATGGCGTCCGCTTCGGGCGCTTCGGCCGCGTTGGAAGTGAGGAAACACCGGTCGACCGGACACTTGTCACTCACGAACTTTGTGCGACCCATTGGCACATCATTCCAACCGCCTCTTCCCAGGTATAGCACTATTTTCTTCAATTCATTAGACGATGGCTTATAGTCTGCGGGAAAATACATCAATTGATTCACAATACGGTCTTCGGTGTGGTCTGTGGTGTGGTCTTCGGGCCAGAGGGCCAACGCATCCGCCATTCGACTCGTGGGTCTGCGGCTGCCGTTCGCCATAAACCACGGCTTATCGGCATTCAAATTGTGATTCAATACATTCAAGCGATAATTGTGTCGATTTGTATTCCCATTCAACCCATTCAACGACCTCTCATTCAAATGGCCATCAATTAAGTCATTTGTAACGCTATTATGTAGTGATGAATGTTTGGGCGCATCCTTTGGCTCCTTTGCCGACACAATGAGTTGGTTGTGATTCAACTCATTGTTGTGTTGACTAGTATTGACTGAATTAATGAATTGCAATTCAAACCAAACATCCACTGCTAATAGAGTGACACAAGTGATCAAAATCACGACTAATATAACTCGCGTTAATGTAATGCGAGGCATAACTCATACGACTATCACAACACCATTGACTAGATATTGACCAGAATAGCGATCGCTTCAATTCATTGAATCACTTTTGCAATCAATGCAATCATTTTGCACTAACAATAACAATGTTGTCATTGTATTCACTGTACAGTACTGTATATGTTGTATATGAACCACATTTCACACATTGTTTCCAATTTGCAAATACTGTATTCATAACAAATCAAACATAGAAGCGATCAAAAGGGCGTAAACACATATATTACGTAAAATACGTGTTTACACTGTGTTAATAGTTAGCGTATATTATAATGTAGTTAACGTATTCTTATACATGTATAACACGTAATGCATGTGTTAAAGCCCTTATGACGGCCACTCTCTCACATATTTATAACAGTATCTTATTTGTACATTACATGTGCTGTTTGTGACAATACTTATCATTACTTATGAGACCAATTCATTCATCAAATCTCAATGATGTGTTCATTTTCTTAAAGGATAATCAATTTACAAATTATCATAATTATTGTACAGGTGTTTAGCATTAGTTGAATAGTGTTTTTGCGTAGTTCTAACACTAGTCTGCATATTAAATGAGTCCATTGGTTGCTCTACTTATCAGTCTATTATTTATCATTAATATACAAACACTTTAATGTAACCAATAATTAATACAATATTAATTAAGCATATTTTTTTATAAACACGTTATGTACTTACTGTTATTTTATAAGCATTGAGTGACTATTTTAAATAATTGAGAAAATCTATGTTTAAAAATAAACACCAAATGAATTGAATAGCTGAATTGTATGTAGATGTTGTGATTGAATGAGCATGGTCATCTCCATGTACTGTGCAATGTCAATTATTAATTAAATCTTAAGCATGATTTTTGTTTAAACTCGATACCTTATATTAATTAACCTTTACATGAGTAACTTATGAATACTGTGTTGTATAAATAATATTTACAGTTTATATATCTTGTACACCCAGTGTTTACTTTGGCAATTCTTATAGATTCATTTCACACACAACTATCACATAACAGTCACAAAACTATATGCTGATTATAAAATGATGTAGGTGCATATTTTAGGAATAAGTTGAATAATAAATAATTATGTCACTTTTAAATTGAGGAAAACACAATGAGTTGTTTATACAAAAGAATCGATGACTAAATATATGCATATTTGATGATAAAATGGGTTCCATTGAGTCTATGGTATATTCGATAGTCTCTGCGCTCACAATAACATCATCTGTAGGTGTGGTCTAAGTGTATAACATGTGTCACAAACAGCACATGTCTATTATGAACACAATATTCTTTGATTCTTTGGTGTTTTTTGAACGTGTTTTCTTAAACAATTTTATTCACCATCTAAAATTTAAATTCTAAATTAATATGATTTAGATTTGTTGTGATTTTATTATTAATGTATAAACAGCGGAATAAAAGGTGATAAAAATATTTTAATTGTTGTAATTTTTTTTTAAATGAGGAGAACAGCAAGAATCCAATGAAAATAACATTCGCTTGCAATAAAACCCGTTGATTAATAAAATAGGGTTTAATAATTAATGTAAAACAATTATTGTTAGCTCCTTTGCAAACACTAGTCTCGGTTTTTAAAAGTTTTTCAACAATTTAAACATTTTTATTACCTGTTATTCCGCTGTTTATTAATGTACTATTTTTATTATATCAATAATTGTAATACCGATTGCATTTTAGCAATATTATTTAAATATTAAAATGCTTTAAAAAGTTATCTTAATTAATTATAATTAGTTATCTATTACCAATTTGTTATTTAACCATTTATAATTTGTAATAAAATGGTCATGGTGATTAAACATTTCTATCGTTATTTAACTCATAGATTGTCATTTTGAACAATTTATTTAATGTTTGTTTAATTGATCTCCAACTCAACCAAAACAGATCAATCGTAATGAGTTATTTTGATCACTCGTTGTCAACTAAATAAATGATCTCTTAACTCCAGTTATATGAACATTATAACTTTATATAATATTACCTTTTGTGCACTTTTACATACATTGAAAATATTTGTGCAATTTTAGAGAAATAGTTTCTGAAAAAATTATTTGAGTTGAAAGTTCATTAATTGTAATATTATTGGTAAATATAGTAGAATATAATTGTGATGGAAGTGTTATTGAATGGACCGTTTAGTACAGTAGTTCCTTAATCCTGCTCTTAATGAGGTGTGATTTCATATCATTCTTTGTTCCTTTTTTGAAACATTACTCGCTATATAACTTAGGTTATATAACTTATTGAAAATTCCGGGATAATGCAAGACATTTCATAATTTTTCTTATGTACATTTTTGTGACATGGAATTTTCCCTGGACGTTTTATGGTACTTGTGAAAACTCGTCTAGGACAAAATGTGCCAAACAGGGACTTGTCCTGGAAAACCGGTACGGTTAATCACTCTAATAGGACAAAGCAAATATTTTGCACACATTGCACACAAAAAGGGTGAAATGTTGAAATGAAATGCACTGTTTTATGCTGAGAGTTATGCAATAATTGATGCCACACTAATGTGCGTACCTTCTATACAGTACTATACTGGTTGGAATGATATGCTGGGGGTTGTACTGTACAGACAACTACTGTACAGAGTATGATATAAAGAATTGTTGTGATGAATGAATTTGCTAACGAAATGATAAAAAGTATTGTAACTGTAAAACAATAATTAGAAAACTAGACTTCTGTGAAGAACTCGTTTTGTTTGAGTAGTAAAACAGAAATGTTTGACTGAAACTCGAATTAAGTAAGAGATAAGTGTATAAACTTATTGTACAATATATGGTATTGGGAGAGAGGTTTCACTCTTCCTTTCAATTCACACTTCATTAGTGATCGCTTCCAAAGAGTCAATCATTTTCTCAATTGTTTATTTAGTTTTCAAACAGCTTTCAGTTAAATTAATTGTGAATTTATTCTTTTTTGTGTAATATATTCAGCAATGAATATATTTAATTTGTTAAATTGTAATGCATTTACATTAATATGTATATTAATGCCTGTTATTGGAATTGATGTTACAGTAAATGAAAGTAAAGCTCTTTGGAGTGAATTGATTGATGCGACCAAAGAATGGAGTAAACATTTAAATATCGATTATGGTTATAATTTTAATATTTTGGCACAAAATGCTAACATTTCCAATGAATGCAGAATAAGTGTCGGACAGACATTAAATGCATTGACAAATCTGGACGATTGGGCTCATATGAGTAAGTTTAATTATGTCTAATTATATAATTATTGTTCTCATTTAGCGTATATATCAATTATTTAGTAAATGTTATTTTATGATTAACTCATTAAAAACCGTTTATTATAAATATGGATTTATTTAAATATGGATATATTTCAAGTCAATCTATAAGAAATGAATTTTATTTTAATATTATTGGCTTTGTAGAGATTAACTATACATAATTAACTTTACATTATTCTTTAAATTAGATTATTTATCAAATAAATATATATAGCATATGAGAAGAATGGTATATTTAACCGATTTGGCAATATCTTATATTTAACAAAATTATCTTGAGGATTATAATTTATAAAGTCTATTTTATTAAAAAAAAGTTACTTTATTTACTTAAATTCGATTTGGTGTATATGAATTTTTGTCCAGTTGCAGATTACCAGGAATTTATGTTTAATCTCAATATTTGTTATATTTTGCCAAAGTTTTAATTGTTTCAATTGCACAAATGTTATAATTCCTAATAAGCCAAAACTAGTAACCGGAATTATATAATTGAATAATATGAAATGCAGCATAGGGTGGAAGTACTTCCGCAACAACTCAAACACAATAGAAGCCAAAAGAATAACTTATTTGCAAAGCTAGCAAAATAAGCCTCTTTTTTCTACTGG